ATCATGTTATCTGTAAATTTCTTTTCTTTTTAGTCTCTAAAATATTGCTTTATAATGTTGTCTGTCCGATATTCTTGTTAAATAATAATTACATAAAGTGATGAGTTACTTGGTGCTGCAGCCTTTTTACCAAATACATTTGTACCAACTCTAGAATAATTTCCTACTTTGTATTTTTACTTGAATAAAAACAAAGTGGTGCTACTCTAACATGAGTCCACATTTTGGGTCCTCTGCTCCCCTCTGGCCTTACATGGCTTGTGACAAACTGAAAATGGAAATCTTACAACTTTCTCCCAACATTGTTTTTTGTGCTACATCTCTTCCATGAAGGCCTAATGTGTGGAGAGCACCACTGCCGATAAAGAGCGAGACGGATTTTCTTCTCGTCACCATCTGGCTTGAGTGTATACTGCTTTTTAGAATACGGGGGGGGGGGGATAAAAAGTGTTTCTCTCTGTCCGTCCACATTGACTTTATGTGTTTTAGGGATCATAGAAAGTCAAGCTCCCTAAGAGCGAACCGAGAACTCCTAATTTAGTCGCTGAGGACTGATGCGGTTGGTGGGAATTAGAAGGAAGGTCACTGCTCAGTCTCCAGCCAGATGGAGATCACATGACTGAGGTTTCAAATCAGAAAAATCCTCTCTCTCTCTCTCTCTCTGTCTTTTAGCCCCAGAAGCCTTTGGTGTGCAATCATAAACTGTACCATTGATCCTAATCCAGCAGTGTGTTGGTGTCATTTTAGACGGCACAAACCAAACTATCAGAGGCGAAGCCGCTTGCCGGTTGCTGGTTGCTGCTCTGCTGTGATTTGGGTGATGCAGATTTTTACCTTTCCCGTCTGGTTCCCATCGGGATTTAAATAGTTTTTAAGCGTTCCTTGGAACAAGGGAATTAAATGCCTTACTTTCACTTTAAGGAACATCCCAGATACACCGGAACTGCTTGACTCATGCTAGTGCAGTAGAATGATTCTCGCAGCTTTAAATAGACTCTTATAGACATTTCTGTCTTTCCTTCATCCTTTCCACGTTTGTTTTTTTTTCATTAGGACACACCTTTTTGTTTCTCTAGCTTTTTTATTTTTTTGCACTCCTTTTTTTCCTTTTGAGCCAAAACTGTTTAATCTTGTCAGAGATGAGAGCTGTGCCGCACATCTCTCTCACTCTCTCTTTTTTTCTTGACATCTTTTTGTCAGATGTAAAGTAGAGGCATCCCCGTCTGAACGTTGATTGTTTTTTTCTTCCTGTTTGATCGTACTTCTTCATTAGGAGCAGAGGCAGAACAGTATCAGAGTCATTTTTGCGAGACATTATCCACTTATGTGTTCACCTCATCCTGCTGGATTTGTTTTTTTTTCTTTTTTCAATCATGTAGGTGAGCAGATATGAAACATAGCTCCAGTTTGGTTATATTTTGATTGGAAGGCAGCTCCGGATGCTCTGGAGTTGAACGGGGGCGACTTTCGTAAATACAGTAAAGTCTGTTTCTGAGGATTTGAACTGGGCTTCCCCTTCAGATTTAACGATTTCATTGTTGAAGGTTAGTTTTTCTTCTTGTTTTAGAGTCATTTTTAGTTAAATACAGAACTTATGGAAAAGTTATGCTGCAGCTGTACAGTCGTTCCGTAAAAGCTGTTATTTTGCTGTGGAAAATGCAGTTCTCGTCCGCCGGATGTTAATCAGCGATCATGGCATTTGGATTGTACAGCATTACACTGTAGATGAGCTAACATGTTAATTGTTAATGTGAGTACATGAGAGAATATACATGTTTTCTGATCTGATAACAATAATAGTGACGATAATAACTATTTATTTCTTCTTTTTTGGGATTAACTGTATAGATGTGACTACATGGTACAGAGTCACAGCCCCACAAACACAAATACTGCTCGTGAAAAACACCTCCGTTTATAATAACAAAGTGTGATTTGTATCACTACTGCTTTTAATTATATTTTCATATTTATTTATACTTTGATTGAACAGTTGAGAAAATGGTAAAACCAACAATGCAGACGGTTTTGGCGTATTTCAAACATCATTAATTGGAATTCATTACGAAAACAATCAATAAAATTTCTTACTATGGGAAGAAAGGCAACCAGGGAAGAACCCAACATGGAGAACATGCAAACTCCATCTAGGAAAATCAATTATTTATATGATAGGTAATCATGTTTGAAGAAATGTTGCCATTTTTCCTCCACAGTTGGTTCCACTTGGCACAATTGACACTATCCATACTGGAGTCAAAATTCTAAAACATTCCCGTTTTTCTGCCGCTGCGTTACAAAAGCGATCATTAATCCAAATCAGTTATTTATGATGTATACCTCGGGCTTCTTCTAACTGGGTCATCTCAGTTTATTCTCTAGAAGCTGAGGAGGTCACATAGTTTCGCTTCGGCCCTGGAACTTGGTTGGGACTGAGGATGTTTCTGATTACTGGGACAAAAAAGCGAACACACCTCTGGAGGCAAACTGGCACAGCCTTCCGACTGACAGACTCACTTGTCATTACACACCAGCTTATCAGGGATTTTCACCAATTTTTTTTTTTTTTTTTTTTTTTCTGTTTGCTTGTGTGGAAGAATGTATAAAGGTTTTATCATGGCAAGCCAATGTCAGGTCACTAATAATCTTTTTGGGCCCCACTTTTTAATCTTACAAGGCCATAGTGTAATCCCATGATTTTTGTGAACCGTGGATTTAATGTGCTACGCTGCTTTTGATAGACGGTGTACTTACAAAAATGATTATCACTCACCTGTAGAGCAGTGGACGTTCACGACATGGCTGGCAGCAGAACCTGAGGTTGGACTACATTTTCTGTCGTTATCGCCGACTAAGACTACAGCCAAACCAAGGACTGCTCCTACTTCCACATCTACATGCAAGACGTAGAGCGCCAAAGACCGTGAACTGTATTCATATACCTTGAACTTGTTCACTTTTTCAAAACTGTTCAAAACTGTGAAGTGTTTTGCTAAGATTCTATATAATGCACAATTTTGATATTTTTTTTTAAAACAAAATCTGTAAAGTTTTGATACTTTGTGCATCTAAACCAAAGATTTTGCTCATTTCATTTTGCACAATAGTGCAAACTCATTTAGACAGAGCAGTGGCCCTCTTAAGGTGAGCCAGGGGGGGCATGACGATTAGCTATTGTTGGTTCATTATTGGTCTTCAACAAAATGCTGTGGCACTTCAAAATCATCTGTATTCACACTTAATTCAAACTAAACACGTGGAATCAATTTTCTGATTCCTACCTACAACAGGACACATTTGCCTGGTACTTGCTTTTAAAAAATGTAATCTAGTCATTCAGTTTGTATACCTGCTTAGATGATAAATCAGTAACATTTTTCAGTGGTAGAGCAGCGTAGCATGGCGTTATGCTGTGCTTCCTAAGTGTTTTGAGAAGGGATGCAGGATGCTAGCTCTGGTCTTGGTCACCCTGCTGCGGGTGGACGTAAATAGTACATCACAGTGGCCACTGTAGCAGTGTGTGTGTGTGTGTGTGTGTGCGTGTGTGTGTGTGTGTGTGTGTGTGTGTGTGTGTGTGAGAGCAGCACAGATTTTGTGCTCTTCCTCTGGTCTCTTGTACAAACTGAATACTGAATATTCGTGGAGCAGAGCTGTTAGCTTGATTGCAAGCTGCCGTGGGCATTTTGTGCAAGGCTAAATGTAAACAGTAAAATGCGGTACCCGAGTCAGGATGAATTACATGTTGCCAAAATGCACTTTGTTTACGTATATATATATATATATATATATATATATATATATATATATATATATATATAGATTGTTGATATCCTTCCTGTCCACTGAGTAGCACATGCTTTTGTGTCCTGTTGTTTTGGGAAGCACATTTTGTCCTACACAGCTGTTAAACTTTCTCCCCTTTTTCTCCCCTTGAACGCTGCACTCGTTCATCATTCTGTCTCTCCCCAGAGCTGGCACTTTGTGTTGGAGAGATTATTCAGTATTCAACATAGAAAACTCATCCGAGAGAACAGAGGAACATATATAAACCCATCCACAGTGTTTACATCTGCTATAAAGCCGACCCATTACGGTCACACTAGCCCTCAGTGGTCTGTGATGCAGCAGGCGAGGGTCATACCTGTTCATTCCTCTTCAGTCCATCAGCCAATCACACGTGGGGATTTTCTTACCTTGACCACAGAGCTGAGCTGGCAGCAGTGATTTATGAAGCCCTTTAAAATTTATGGAAAGTTGTCACGTACAAAATGAAGGGGATGCTTCACGGAGCTTTTTCCTTACCGAAATGTCATTATTACTTTGGAGTAAAGAAAAGGGGAAGAAATGTAGGAGAAAAGTGGCTCATGAATAATTAACTCTGAATAAAGAAATAAACGCATTATTGGACAATTAGCCTCCCCCAGGCTCTCCATCTTCTTCACTGGGGTTTCCTTTTTGGCATCCAGGTTCAGTAGAGAGTGGATGCAATAATTTCACCTGCCTCCATTGTTGTTCATGTATTAGTGTAATCCTATAATACCATGAATTTTAAAATGGTTTTATTCTTTATTTTTTACCGTTTTATTTTTCTTAATATGAAAAGGTACTGAGGAATCTTTGGTGATGGGAATCTTTCACTCATCTCATGATTCGATTTGATTCAAACTCGATTTTCGATTCAAAACGACTATTTATACTGATTTCTGCTCCAATTTATTGGCGTCCAAAGGATCCTCGTGATCTAGTCTTGTCCGCTTTGCAAGGCAGATTGACAAATGGAGACATTAAAGTGTCTTTTTCTCACGTTTATCAGGTTTTAAACATTAATCTATTGCTTTTTTCACAATAGGTGACAGTATGTCGTTTTTATGTTGTAAATCACTTTGAACTGCCTTTTTGCTGAATGTGCTATAGAATTGAACCTGAACTTGAACTTTGCCATTTGCTCATTGGATAGTGTAGCACTCAGCAAACGCCTGTTCTTCTTTTTTCCCCTTCAGGAAACGAAGCCCGTCTGCATCCAGGGATCCAAACCAAAAATACGACCAAAGGGAGGGGGGCGACCACCCGCAGTATGCACCCACAGACAACAGCATGCCCAGATCACCGTCAGACTACGGGGATGTGGACCCACGGCGGGTTCCGCAGGGCCCACACATATTCCCCGACGTCGATGCGATGCGGTCGGGCTACCGGGACCGCCGGGGACCCGGCCGCTGGCACTCCCAGGAATATCCGCTGGACCAAGAGCTAGACGGGCCACCCAGTGACTTTGACCTCCAGCGCCAGCGCCAGGAGGAGTTCCAGATGCGGTACCGCAGCGACCCCAATCTGGCACGCTACCCCGTAAAGCCCCAACCCTACGAGGAGCAGATGAGGATGCACGCCGAAGTGGGCCGGCTGAGGCACGAGCGCCGCCACAGCGACGTTTCCCTGGCCTACACGGAGCAGGACGAGCCGGGCCCCATCAGACTGTCCCGCCAGCATCTCACCGAGCGCCGGCCGCCGATGGTGGGACAGCGCTCTTACTCCGTCGACCGTTCTTCCCCTGGACCCATGGGGCCGGGCCTCGGAGGTCACAGGGGCTCCAACCGCAGCCCCCCGACGCCGCATCGGAGCCCCGTGCTCGGTGACCGGTCGGGGGACCTGCGGCGAGGAGACCTGGGCGTCGGAGGGGACCCCATGATGAGGCAGCAACACCACCTGGATCCCAATTCGGCTGTCCGCAAAACCAAGAGGGAGAAGATGGAGAGCATGCTGAGGAATGACTCTCTCAGCTCGGACCAGTCGGAGTCGGTGCGGCCGCCCCCCCCCAAACCCCACAAAACCAAAAAGGGTGGAAAGATGAGGCAGGTGTCGCTGAGCAGCTCAGAGGAAGAGCTGGCCACGACCCCGGAGTACACAAGCTGTGAGGATGTGGAGATTGAGAGTGAGTCAGTCAGTGAAAAAGGTAGGAGCCTTCACACCCCTCTCTCTCTTTATTGTATTTATATGTTTATTAAATGCTAGTATATCATCACTTTCCTAAAACAATGACTTATTTCTTTTATAAACAAAAAAAGATGTGGTGATTATTTGTATTTTATTTATTTTTTATTTTTTTTGCCAAAATCACTTTTGGCAGAAAAAAATTACGTACGCTGTTATTTTAGGAAGGTGATGATATGATATACAAGTATTTTGTACTGCTTTTTGGGCAGTATTAAGCTATTATGCAGTAATATATTTTTTATTTCAAAATTGAACTTCTAAAAAATAGTTCATTATGTAACTGCTTCTGTCTCATGTTGATTATAGATGCTGTTGATGACTTAAATACTGTATAACTTTCAGTTTCCCCAGTCTGCGCTATGAACGTCTGTGTTGTGTGCGTGCGTGTGTGTGTGTGTGTCTGAGCGTGTGTGTAGTTTTATGTGTATGACTCATTATTTTCAGTTAAACATATACTTGAATGTGAACTATTTCTAATCATAAAAATCAATAATTATCGCCATCTCTTCTCTGGAGTTACAAATTTATGTAAAGAATTGTTGCATGAAAAGCCAAGAGACCTTGACAGTCACTGCATGTTTCTTGTAAGACATCAAATAAAACCAGTGACTTCAGAATTTCACATTTGGGAAGATGTTTGTGAGAACTGACAGTAATGAGTCTGATATCTCAGCCGTGCTGTGCTGCAGTTTCTAGTTGTTGAGGGAACAGCTGCAGCAGTTCCTGTGCCTTTCAGGAGGAGGCTGGTCGTTCTTGAACTCTCCTGATGTGTTTCAGTGTGAACGGATGTTAATTTTTGTGCATACCATATCAGGTCAACATATCTCCAGCAACTATCCTGATTTTGAAGTTTTCTTCCTCAGCTCCTTTGCTTTATACTCTGCCTTTGCGAAGGTTTTCTTCCCCACTTCAAATTTTTCACATTTTGTCACGGTACAACAACAAACTTCAACGTATTCTTGTTAGGGGCTAAACAGCAGAAAACTGGGGGTAAAAAAAATATGTTAACTTTTTTTTTTTTTTTTTTTTTGGACAAATAAGAATAAAATGTGCCATGATGGCATACCTGTGCATTCACTCCAGTTTTCTGAACTTTAATTTCAGTATTAATGCAGCAGCTTTAGTTGGTCTTAGAGAGCATGTGTGCATGGAGAGCATTATGAAGACAAAGTAACACAGGAGACAGGATATGGAGAACAATGTGGAAAAGTTTAAAGACTATAGACTATATAGAGATAGAAGCTGCACTGGTCAGCTGAGGCCAAAATGAAATGGTCTGACCTAAATGTGACTAAAATGAGTGTCAGGTATCACAATCAATATGTAACTTTAATTCCATATCACCATGAACAAACAAACAAAACAGGGCTGAAACGATTAATCATATTAATTGTGATGAATTGTTTATGAAAATAATCATCAATTAATTTGTTAATTCATTAATCGTTAAGAGTCTAGAAATAAAGGCCGTTTCTTGACAAAAAATACATTCAGAGTTATAATTAGTTCAAAACTGTACTAGAAATTTGTATATTTTGCATTTAAGATATTAAAAATACTCTTAGTGGCATAGTTTTAGCACCACCTGATTCAAATTCTGTAAAATCAAATATGTCATCAAGCACCTTTTACTATCCATTTATTCATCTGTTAATCCAAACAATAATACAACAGACTCACCTGGAGTGGCTGCTCTTTTGCTACAAATGATTCCTAAAGAGGAATGCTATCACTGCATTCTAGCCAATAAAATGTTTATTTTCTATTAAAAAATGAGTTTATTTGTTTCTTTATTTGCATTTTTAATGTATTTCTAATATTGTATAAAAAAATAGGCTTAAGCGGGTAAGTGAGTTATCTGCAGAATGTGCCAATTTTTCACCAGATTTACTGATTAACTGTCAGAATAATGGACTACTAAAAATAACTATTAGTTGACATATGCTGTAGAAGTGTTTTTCTTTAGAGGTGCTCGTCCGTTCGGACTAGCCCTGACCTGCTTTACACAGAAAAATGGTAAATTCTTAAACTGGCAGTGAAATGTTCAAAATGACCTGCAGGTTTAATACACATACGAATACACACCTTGCATTCCAGGTTTTGAAATTTTGAAATATTTATTTGAAATAAATTTAAAAATAAATAAATAAATTAAAAAAGTATTATTTTCTGTACACGTCACAATTGTGCTCTACTCTGCGTTGTTCTGGTACATTCAATTAATGTACATTGAAGTTTGTGTTTGTAACATGAGACAGTGCAGAACTGGGGGTGTGAAAACTTTTGAACAGAACGCTTTGTTCTAATGATGAGTGTGGCAGGAAGCAGCCACAGTGGATGCGTGGTGAACAAAGGGACGTTCTCAATTTCTTTAAATAATTTTATCCTTCACTGATGCCTAGAAATGTTTCAGGATAACAAATGAACAGAGGGTGTGTCTGTATCCTACCGACCTGAGCTTTTTGTCTTGGTGCAGTGCTATGAATCTTTGTGAAGCAAGCTACTACGAGGTGGCAAACGGTGTACCATTCAATCAAAACAGGAAGAAAGCTGTTCAGATTAAAGGATAAATAGGAGAGAGCTGCTCTGGACTTAATGGTCACATTTTGACTAATAGTTTCCTCTGCATGTGCTTCTAGTATTTTTCTAATAAGCTCTTTATTTCAGTGATTAGTAGTCAGGTTATTTGGAACCCATTTGTAATGATTATTTCTTATTACCACCTGTGCTTACTGTACTGTATTGGTATGGTTCTTTACCTGCCTGCACTGAGATAGAAACTCTCATTCCAACAAGATTAAATGCCATCTTGCAGAGTCAACATAAAAATTGTTTGTTTGTAGTTTCATCATTTCAAATTGATGTTAAATCTGTAATTAAAGGCAGTTTCTTGTATGTTAAATTGATGTTTTTGAGCTTCACGTCATGTTAAAATATTGTTCCCTCCTCAAAAACACACCTGGAGTGTTGCCTTGATTCTTTCATGTCTGAGAAATTATTTAGTCTCCCATGGCAACCACTGAGCTGCGTAAAACGTCTGGGTGGACCTGGCCCCGCCTTCAATTCGGAGCTCCTCCTCTGACTTTGCCAAGTGTCTGAACTTTCGCCTCACACAGCAGAGCTCCGCCTGCGATTCCCTAACTCTGCTCCTACAGACTAGCCAGCAGTAATTAGGAAACACCTGGTGCTGAGCTCATTATACAAGCTACTTTTCATTTTCACTCTATTAACCCGCTGTTAAAGGGTTAATAGAGGAGCCATGCTGTGATGACATTCTGAAGACAGAGTTTCAGAAAGAGCAGGAGTTTTTAAAGAGACAGAGGCCCAATTTCAAGGCGTTAAATTACAAAGTAAATTTTTTTTAAGTAATATTTTTTTTATAACAAGAGAATTCACATAGTTACTTGATTGTGCTATAAATGGCATGATATGCCTGGAAAAAACATAAAACTTCCCTATGAAGATACTCTTTAGCCTAAAAGCAGCAACCCCAAAAATAAAAGACAGAAGTAGTTGCTGCTACATAAATAGAGACGTAGTAAAATGATTACTGTATATGTTCATATGTTAGATAACACTATAAACATAAAGAAATAAAATAAAAAAATTGGAAGCTCAGTTCTTCGATATATAATAAGAAATCAAGGCCGATGAATTCATTTGGCCGGCTTCAGGTTTTGTCCGTTGTGGTAAGAGAAGCATCTCAGCACTGGTAATACATTATTAATGTGGGAGTTTCCATGTTTACAGGTAGCCAAAATAGGGTCTTGAAAGGGTCATGGCTTCTGTGTTTCTGTCTGTCTGCGTCTTCCACAGGCCAGCCTTTATGGAAGGAAGAGGAGAAGCAGAGCTCAGCTGTTGAACTTCCCAGACTAGCCGTAGAGTATGCTGTTCTCATCGGAGCTTATGTCAGAAATCCATGTTCTGATTATTGCTTTGCTTTGCTGATATGCAGCAGAGTCAAAACATGAAATCTGAAAACGTGTTTGTTTGTGGATCACAATCAAAGCAAAACTACTTAAAAATGCTAAATCTGGAACTGTCTGAAAGGTGTCATACCTCTGAACGAAAAAGAAACGAGCACCAAAATGTGATTTTTGCCACACAGTTGTTGAATTTGTTTTATTTTTTTTTTCAGGAATTCCTTGGTTATTAGACACTAAAGGTCCAATATTGATGACATTGTTAAAATAATAATAATATACTGCTCAAAAAAATAAAGGGAACATTTCACTTTAATTTTGTGTGTGGCTCCAAATCCAGGCCTCCATTGGTTAATAAATTTGATTTCCATTGGTGATTTTTGTGTCATTTTGTTGTCAGCACATTCAACTTTGTACAGAACAAAGTATTCAATGAGAATATTTCATTCATTCAGATCTAGGATGTGTTATTTGAGTGTTCCCTTTATTTTTTTGAGCAGTGTATGTATATATATATAATCAGTGAAATATTTCAACAGCCTACTCAATCCTGAGCTTGTAATCACACAGGAAGCACTGGAACCCACTCGTGTATGTGTAACAATGTTTACCAGACGCAGTGATTTCAAGACTCCTTGTTTAGTTTTCAATGAGTCTTCAATGATTTCAAATTTCTGGAATGTTTTTGTTGCTCTTTGTGCTTCAGCTTGTGCAAATCGATGCCTAACAGGTTCCAGCCGGGTGCTGATGAACCCGGCTGGTGGAGTTTGATGGTCCATCTTTTAGGTTTGTTTCCTGTTGTAGTAACACTTATTCCTACAAGCCCAGTGTGCTGCAGCAAAACGCATTAGTGATGTTGGTAATGCTGGTTCTACTTAAATTGCCAGTATTTACATCCGATACACATTAGATCTTGTCTATTTTTATGACTACAACTTTGTAACAATTTTAAGTTAAGTTTAGTTTTTGAAATTTTGGTCCCTTGTGCTTGACAGCTTTTATCTGGTCATATGGAGTTTGCAGGTTTTACTGTTGTCAGCATGTATTGCTGACAACAGTAATGCATGCATGCATTCTAGAGTCAAGCCTTTGGTTTGACTCTAGAATACTTTGGTCCTGTGGTTCATTCTGATGCAGCTTCACAAACCTAAGTTGTGATGCCAGATTGTCTTCAAGTGAAGGTACAAAATAAACCCATCCTTGTTTCTCCTCATGCTGGTTGTGCTGTCTTTAAGTGTCGGGTTGCAGAATGTGCAACATAGCTTTTCTTTACTAATTTCACAGTTTGATCTTGGGATAATTTGCTGGGATGTCCACTTTTGGAAAAACAATTAGGAGTCGTATGAAATGTTTTTCCACCTGTGAGTAATCTTTCTCACTCTCTTCATAATTTATTTAAAACTGTCTGAAGTCTGTGATTATGTCTGTCCTTCTTGACATTGTCTTTCTACACTCCTGCACGATCCAGAGCACAGAGTTTCTGCTTCCCTGTTTTTAAAGAGGCGGCCACAGAAGCTAATGATCAAGTGCAACATTGTCCACAGCTCTGACCGATGCTGCCAGAGCAGCATCTTCAGCTGCAGGCACATATGAAATATCAGACATAATCCAGTACATGAAGTCGCTCAGAGCACAAAACATAGTTAGCCATCTGCCCTTATGGATCGGGAACATTGTCATTGATACCTGATATATAATTTTTTTCAATATCAGGACCGATATTGATTCGTATTGGATTGGTGAATCTCTAATATTTTCCTGATATGATGTAGCCTATGAGTTTTGATTTGACACAAAAAATAACCTTTTGCTTCCTGTAATAAGTGCACATGAATCTCTTAAAATGACGTGAAACGGCAGTAAGCTGCTGAAGACACAGAGCAGCGCTAAGCAGGATGTACGCCCCGCTCTCAGGTCTGCAGCGCTCTTCTGGGGGTCTTTAAGGATGGACGAGGAAACGAGAACAGTTCGGTCTGAGAGGAGGATGAGGCTGGAGGAGGAAGGATGTGTCTGCTGTTCCAGGTCTGACTGCCGTCTCTGAGCACTGGAGACTGATTTAACGCGATGGTCCTCTCTCCTTTTCCCCTTTATTGATTCCTCTGACATGCAGTCTCATAATAGTGCCGAACACACAGAAAAGGAGAGAATAGCCAGCTAACTGCAGCAGACAGGCGGACACTGTGTAACAACAACCTAAATTACACTGCCATTAACGGCTTTTGCCCTCCGTGTTTGCCCCCCCTGTAAGTCCGTTGGTTTGTAGTTTGTCAACATGGCGCAAAATCCCACAAAGAAAGTCTTATTAATTTGGACATTTCACCTCAAAAGGTAATTTTGCTGCTTTTATGTATTAAAAACGGCCGTTTAGTCTTAGAGTTTTACCGGGACGTCATATCTCCTTCTTAGTATCGTGACGATGTTTTAAACATACACATTGTTTCATCCCTGCCTCTATTTAATTTTTCTTTTCTGCTCTCACACTTCGAATTGTAGTAAAAACAGCATCAATAATTAATGATCCAATTAATAGTTTACACTGGTTTTTATTGAGCTGTCAGAGTGATGGAGAGCCTGGAGTTGGTGAACTCCGCCACCGCCCGTGCTCTGCCTTCGACCTGAATCAGCACTTTGAAGGAGGGTGGGGGGCTTGGAGCCGGGAGAGAAAGGGAGAGAGAGAGAGAGCGCTGGTCAATGTGGAGGTTGGAAAAATATGAAAGTAGTACCAACTACCAGACTTTATAATGCTCGCCTAAATGACATAAACACAATAGAGTCAAACTGGAAGGTAGCAAATGCTTTCTGTCCTGAATCTGGCCCGCAGAACAGAGTGTCCAGTAGACCACACACACTGTTCTGTTGTTATGCAGCTACAAGACATTTTTGGTCATCTCCACTCTCAGTTGTCATTTAAAGGGCCACACATCTTAGCGCGTGTGACATCCATAATGTTTAGGTAAAGTCCATTTCTAGGTACGATACGAATTGTACGTGCTCCCTCTAGGCTCCCTCCGCAGTTCTACAGTCGGCTCTCAGTAGCTGTGTTTTCATTACAAAAGTGTGCAAATCTTTGTAGGTTTTCTGCTAATCACAAACCCCGCCCCCACACAATTTTGCAATTGCGGTGTTTCTTTTAAATATGAAATTAAATTAATAAATATGCTTGTTTACGCGACAACTCATTAAAAGAAATGCCACACAACGATCCTCTAACTACTTCCTACCATTTTCTTCTTTGTGGTTTGCGTCAGTGGCAACAGCAGGTTGATTATGTGACTCATGTGATGTGAAAAAAAAGTTTCTTTTGCTGTTTTTTTGTGTGAAATAAACCAATTTCAATACGACCAAAAAAACCACATCATCTTAACGCCAAGACTTTTAAAAACAAGTGTTTTCAAAACTGGCTTTGTTCCATTAACAAGTTTATTTTCAAAATGTCAATTTGCACGACTGTGTTGTCAATGGAAACATACAGTAGCTCCTGACATAGACGTGCAACATCAACAACTGGCCTGAGTCCTAAAAATATAAATACATTTTTTTCTTTTACAGCAATATCTCGATGTAAAGAACAGAAGATGTACCTGAATAATCAAACATAATATTCACAAAAGTGACATTTTTAAACAGTAGAAGTTTGAAAATGTCAAGTATATCGCAACATCTCTCTATAATTTGCTGTTGTCCACTCTTAAAATGAGGTTTTCTAATGAATTCTCTTCATGTATTTGGAGTAAAAACTTGGATCCCAGTTTAATATTAATACTTGTGGAATCATTAATCATCCATCAGATTAATACCTGAGTGGCATCGTCGTTTCTCCACAGGAAGCTTAACAGTTACACATGCTCACCGTCTGAGTTCGGGGCAGTGTGTGAAAGTATGTAGGCGTGTGTGTGGGTGTGTGTATGTGTGTGTTTGAAGTGAATATGTGGACGTCTCGTCAAAGTGATGTAGATGTAATACATGTGCTTGTGTATGTCTGGTTTGTGGTGTCCTCACTTGTCCCTCTTGCTGTCCTCTCTCGTGTATTCGCGTCCCACTGCCCCCCTCCTCCCCCTCCACCTCCCGCCCTCCAACCCCCCCCTGCCTCCTCACATTACAGGAGATATGGATGGCCATTGGTGGGACCATGCGTCATGGCATAGCAGCGAGGCCTCCCCAATGTCTTTGGTGAGACATGTGGAGCCCTGCCCTGACCCTCTTCCCCTCCTGTCCCTCCCACCCCCACGTCCTGTCCTCTAATCCCATCTCTCTCTCTCTCTGTCTCTCTCTCTGATTCTGTCTCTGTCTTTACTGTCCCATTCTCTCCAGCCCCGTCCCTCCCAGCACCCTACCCCCCCGATCTCCCCAAGTCCTTTGTCATTTCATGTTTTCCTTTGTTTTATTTACACCTTTGCATGTTGTTTTTTCTGTTTTCTTTCTGTTTTTTATCCCACGCCTGTAGGGGAGAGTCAAAGGGGAAAAAGAAAAACTATTGGGCAGGCATTTATATCCGAGCCGACACACACCTTATCTGAGAGGCAAAAGAAAATGGTGCGCTTTGGGGGACACTCATTTGAAGAGGACTTGGCATGGTGTGAACCACAGGTTAAAGACTCGGGAGTTGATACGTGCAGTAGCACTACCCTAAACGAGGAGCATAGCCATAGTGAGAAGGTACTGAGAAAATGTAGCCTGCATTTTGTGATTCTTCTTCTTCTTGTTTATGATTTACCCATTCAGTATTTGTTTACTTTCTCTCACCACGTTCAGTCGGATGAGATGTTTACTTTCAGAGTTTTTATTTGTCAAAGTTAATTTTCCTCACAACTTGGTTATTTCTTTTTATCCGATCACATTTCTTGCTAAAAAAACAAAAAAAAACAAAACAAAACAAAACAAAAAAACACAGACACACACACGTTTTGGAATCTCTCTCTCTTTGCTTGCTACTTGTACTTGCTGTTTTGCTCTCCTAACAGAAGACACACATGTCACATTAGCTGTTCAGCAATAGCATTGACGCACAACCTCTTTGTTTGTCATGGCACACAGAAATGTGGGTCTCTCCTAGTTGCATGCTCGTTCTCCTTTCGTACATTGTGTTTCTTGCTCTGCAGCAGTCCTGTTTAGCTCAGTAGGATCACCTTCTACTCAGGCCTCTCCTCCTCACTCTACTTTCCTACCCCACGCCACCCAGTCCAGACAGAAACCTGCCCCCCCCACCCCTCTCCAAACTCCCCTTCACTCACTTCAATAGCAAAACCCCAAGCATACACAAAAATGGGAAGGTTGAATTTGTTTTGCACCAAAAATTTAAACATTTGTTTTTCTTTTTTCCCTTCCCTTACCCCCGTTTTCTTTTTCTGTTTTTTTTTTCTTTCGGTTGTGTGATTTCACTTTATCTGTGTCTCATGGCGTTATTTTGAATCATTGGTGTTGCATCCTTTTTTAAAATTTTTTTAAATTATTATTATTATTTTTAATCCGGCACCCAGTGGTCTACTTCATTTGAACCTGTATCCTGGGTTGCCTTTCATCCCCCCCTTGTGCCGTCTGCTTCTCCTCTCACCGCTCAACTCGGTGGTTGTCTGTTTGTGTGCAGCGAAGCGTCGGAGCGCCGCTCCGCTCTTCCTGCTGCTGGTTTGAGGGGGAGTGTTAGGGCTGCTTGCTTTACTCTGCATGGGATGCTGCATGAAGCTCACTCCAACCTCTCACACTAGCAGGTTCACACAAGCTCTGAAAGTTAGTAACCACACCAGCTGAATTCTGACTGTAAAAATGTCCATTTCTTCCCCAAATGTACGGTTTACATTTATCGGTTAAGTCAGAATTAAACAACCGATGTACGCATTTTTCAGACAAGAAAGCATCCCTCATAAATCGTCAGAGTTTGTGTGAACTTTCTTCCCCCCAAAGTCAACTCTGACTGTGTTTCCTTCATGCCCCCTTTTCACCAGAGACAGTTGTCTGCTTTGCTCTGGTTTGACCCCTTTCAAATGAGTGAGTTGTTAAACAAAAGGTGTATTGTTGCTCTGACTTTGTAGCACCCGGTGACATGGCAGCCATCCAAAGACGGAGATCGCCTCATTGGCCGTATTTTGCTCAACAAGCGCATGAAAGATGGAAGTGTGCCTCGAGACTCAGGAGCTCTACTTGGTCTGAAAGTGAGTTTCTCATACAGTGATGTGGAAAAGTATTTGCCTCCTTGTAGGTGTCTCTTCTGTGAACCTCAGTAAATACAAAATACTTTTATTATTCAGGCAAAAACCTACCCTAACCAAGCTGGCCCTATGTCAAAAACTGCCTTAAGGCATTTGTGTACTATGCAGTGTTTTACATCACTGTGGAAGTCAGAGTTTTATTCAGCCACATTTTAGGATTTATCAAGCAGTATTCCTTCTGACGCATCTCAGTCAGATTTAAGTCCAGATTTTTGGAGGGTTGTTCCAAATCCTTTTTGCCCATTCAGAGTTCCACTTGCTGGTGTGTTTAAGATCATTGTCCTGCTTCCAAACCCGAATGGGTTTAAGCTTAAGGTCCCAAACTCATTGCCAAGCGTTCTCTTTTAGCACCTTTTGCCAGAAAGCAGAATTCAAAGATCCACCAATTATCTCAAGAAACCAGAAGTAGCAGAGGAGCTCCAGAGCATCATACTACCACCAACGTGTTTGGCTGTTGGTATCATGTTCGTTTTTTAAAATGCTGTATTAGTATTAGGACTAATGTCACAAGATGCTCATTTTTCAAAAAGTCCTACTAATTTCTTGGCAGTCACCAGAAATTGTTCCTAAATGTGTTGAGCATTATCAAAATGTTTTTGTTTTTCTTGGCAACTGTGAGATGGGCCCTCGAGTTCTTTGTCATGGGAAGCCTTGACTTGTAACTCTTCCACAGTTTCCCTATATGATATGATATTCCCATAGAGCTATTTACTTTATGGGGTGGTTTACCACTGTTTAATGTTTCCTACATTTCTAGATCTTCACTGTGTTTCAGTTGAGTCCAAAAGTTTTAGGAATGATTTTGGAACCTTTTCCAGATTGAAAACTTTCAATGACTTTGTCATCTGTGTTGGCATTTCTTTAAAACAGGCAATATCCTGTTGCCAAATCAGTTCTATGGAAGTGATCATTATTATTATTTTATAAATAAGTCAGATAGGAATAAGGCCATTGCTGGTGGCTGTGCTATGTTGATTAGGATTGCTTTCTTTCCCTTTATTTTTGTCTGCAGTTTAAATTTGTTGGATAATTTAAAACATTCAAATATGAAAAAAAGCACAGACTTTTTAAGGGAACAAACACTTTTTCACAGCACTGGAACTCTGTTAACTGTATCTGCATCCCCATTTGATTCACAGTAAATTATCTGATTATTGCTGGATGTTTATGCAACATATAATAAACTCTTCAACAGATACATTAGTCTGATTTATTTAAAAATGTACTTAATTTTACTTAAAAGCAAAAATTTTCACTTTTAAATTTTACATATGATAAGTCTTTGGTTCTAAAGTCAATAATTATCTTGTTTATTTTTATGTTTGGTTAATTTTAGCCCTGAATGTTGTTTGCTTACATTGCTGCATAGTTAGGTATTAATACTTAGAAAAGTTTTTACTCCTTATAGTCGTGATTATGTTCTTGATATGGAGCACGCAGGGAAAATCATGTGTTCATAAATCATACAACATAAAAACCTTGTATCCTCCTATAATAGGCTCATATAAACATGCAAGCTAACTCTCTATACTTGTGTGCCTTTTAATTATGTTTAGTTTTTTTTTATGATTTTCGTTTTATTTTGAGTTTTCTACTTTTTTTTGTTTTATTTCAACGTAACCACGTCATTGCCCAAGCTGAGTGCTTTTGTTTTTTTTTTCTTTATTTCTTTTTTTGTCCCCCCTTCTTTGTTTTATTTCTGCAGTTGTAGATGTTACAGTCACTTAGCACTGTTGCATAAAGCCTGCCATGAGGAGAGATAACCTAGAGCAGCAAGATGGGGAAAAATCATTACTGATTGAATGAACCTCCTGAAATGGCATGTTTGTGTCTGCTCAGTGCTTCTGTGCGTTTCTGTCCGCTCAGCAGCTGCAGCCAACCAGCTCGACAATCCAGCCAGCCATCCGTCAGGCTGCCAGCCTCGCCCTCGCTGACCATCTTTCTCTCATCTCCTCTGCTGGCCTTCCATTCGAGCTCCTGCCTGTTACATAAAGTCATTTCATTTAGCCGACTTCTCTAAGCTTCTTTGTATGTTGGCATTCAGCTGCCATTAAAAGGGATTTTTTTATTTTTTATTTTTTTATTATTTGTACGCTGCCGGTGTAAGCTGAGTGCAGCGGTGTACAGCAGGTCAGTACTGTACTGTGCAGACGTAGCCCACGGCTGTTTCAGAGCCACAGAGCTGTGGTAAAAAGCATCCCCGGGGACTGAAGTAGAGCCAGGGATGGTTTTTAGAAGTTACAGGTTCACATTTACCAATGACTTTCTCCAGGAAACACTTTTATTTTAGTTTCAGATCTCTTAGGCTGCTCCTACTGACATGACATTAAGCAGAAAGTAAATGTAAGTACTAGGAGTGCACAGACTGGAGTTTTCTGGCTGAATCTTTACCAAAGCCTGAGCTGCCGGTTTCGATTTTTGCCGGTACTGATTTTTTTTTTTTTTTTTTTGGTCTAAAATGTTGCTAAAAATAACAAGAAAGTTACTGAGCTGGTAACAGCAGGGTGACTATTGTTAATTGAAAACGTGCAGACATGACGTGCTGGGTGGGTCTGTCAGTCAAACCTCTCTCATGGCAGAGCAAAAGAGGACAGTGGTCAATTTTTAGACCTTTGAAGAGGTTGGTGGATAAGTATCGGCCAATCATTGCTCTCCCAACATTAAGGAAATCTGTGTCAGTTTTTCAGTGCACCCTTAAAAGATACTCTGCACACCCTAGTACAACCCAAGTTTACTTCACAAATATGTTTTGTGCTGATCCAGTGATCATTTCTACTTTCACAGGTAGTTGGAGGCAAGATGACAGAATCTGGCAGACTTTGTGCTTTTATCACTAAAGTGAGGAAAGGAAGTCTAGCAGACACAGTTGGACACCTCAGACCAGGTATCAAAAGCACACCCTGTCTGTTGCTTATGTTCCACATCTATAAGCAAATAAATGATCTCGTTTGGTGTTTCTGCAGGTGACCAGGTTCTGGAGTGGAACGGACGGATTTTACAGGGAGCCACATTTAAAGAAGTTTACAATATCATATTAGAATCCAAGCCTGAGCCTCAGGTGGAGCTGGTGGTCTCACGGCCCATAGGGTGAGCACGGAAAATTAGACCTCAGACTCACACCCGCTGCTAGCATCCATCCAAAATGAACTGGGACTGTCCTTCCTCCCTCAGTTAACAAACAGAACAGTTCAGTTAATTGGTATCTCTAAATTTCCCTTATGAGTGTGTGCGTGTGTATGGTGGTTTGTCCCGTGTGTCTCTGAGTTGCCCTGTGATGGACAGGGGACCTATCTAGGATTTGCCTACCTTCTTTCCCAATGACCCCTGAAGATAAGCACCAGCCTCCCCCCAACCCTGCAAGGACAAGCAGGTAAAGACAACGGATCAATGATGGATGACAGCTAGTCTGGAACTAGTAAAAGGCTATCTGCTAGTGGACTCGCTTTGCTGTTCCTGGCCAGGTAGCTGGTTGCTCTGTGGGGACTCCCCCCTGGTGTCTTTGGAGGCCTCTGAGAGCTACCTGACCTTTGTTGGGACTGTGTTGGTGTGGGTAGAAGAAGAGGGGGTGGTGATTTGGGAGCTGGATCCCAGAGGTATTCGTGCTGGGAACAGGGAAGCTAAAGGCCTGGTTATTGAACAAAATTGGTGGGGACTAGAGGTGTGGGATGGTCTGGAGTCAGTGGTGGCATCTTAGGGAGAGGGTGGAGGGGACAATGGAGTCTGCATCTCTTAGTATGGCGTTGTTTGTGCAGATGCTTGGGTTGTGTCTCAGAGTGGTGGGCCCCTATCGGGTGACCTATGGCTTTAGGGGACATGTTGGGGGAGTCGCAGGGACTTCTCTGGACTCTGGTGTTTATCCGTCTTCCATGTCCACCCACAGACCAGCTCACCAGATAGGATGGTAAGGATGGCAGGACCCTAAGCTGGTACGTTGGCCCTTATCTCTTCTGAGGCCCTGAGAAAACCTTGTTAGAGAGGGCGTGACGTAACAGACTCTTTGAAATACCAGGACTTTCAAATCATGATCTGATATAGATCAACTGCAGAATAATGACTTAAAGCAGTGAAATTTGTAAGACCCATAGTCAACCCTCTGCCAGTATCTGGTTTCCATTCATTGTCTTTACTCAAGTATCCCTGTACGGCCACTGGGAGGCCAGTGCCCATCTCCAGCAGTCACTGAGGCCGAGGCACGGTAAACTCTTGTCAGGTCAGCACAGGGCAACACAGAAAGACACACAGGACAAACAGCACATTCATACTGAAGGGCAATTACAGACCATTTATCCTAACAGTGTGCAGGAGGAAACCAGAGTCCCATCAGGATTTAAACCTTTAGATGTGACCTTCTTAATGCAAGGCATCAGTGCTACTATGTAGTCCACAAATCACAAATTCAAAGTTAATTGTCTCATAATCTTGGACAACACATTATAGCATCATTCACATCAGTGACTTTTATTGACTTTTTCCTCGATATTGTTGCTCTCAGATAGAGCAGGGGTCCTCAGATCCAGGCCTTGAAGGCCAGTGTCTTGTAACTTTTAGATGTGTGAGGAGGTGATTCTGCGCTGAAAATCACCTCCTCAGTGCAGTAAAATCCTCCAGAGTCCTGCTAACGGCCTCCTTATTTGATTCAGATGTGGTGAAGCAGGCACACATCTAAAAAGCAAGACACGGGCTCTCGAGGTTGGTGTTGAAGAGCCCTGACATAAAGGGTTGTACTTGACAAATTTTATGTCGAAGGGTGAGTTAGGGAGGTTATGGGGCTCCACCTCTGCCTGTGATTTCTCCATTTTGATATGTGTTAAATAGATACTCTAAAAGCAAATATTTGGGTGCAAAGCATGTTATCTTACAAATTAGCTCCTATAGGGCCAGTGCCACATTGCTTTATCAGCATATTTCCCCTGTACCTCCTGGTTTTGCCATTCCCAGCTCTGTATTAAATTTACCAGAGTTTCTGGTCTTTTTGTCAGTAATGTTTTTGAACAAAAATTATTTAAAAACTGGCACTTTGTTTTGTCAGTTCCTAATCTAACCTCCTTTTACCTGCTGAGGATGCTGTTGGCAGAATGAAGATTAATGTGATACAGTGTATTCAGCATTAGCTTAAATTGATCCACTCAGTTCTTTTCCGTATCGGAATGCTCTTTTCACTTCTTGTTCATATATGTTTTCCAGAGATATTCCAAGGATACCCGACAGCACACATGCACAACTGGAATCAAGTAGGTATTCTCATAATCTTTAGCAAGTATTAACATGCCCATATGCATTATTAAACAGTCTGTAAAGATTAAGATCAGAAAAGAACCTTTTCAGAACTCAGATAGTTCTCTTGGGCAGTCATGGACAAAATATACACATAAACCAGTCCTGCTGCAGAAATAGGACTTTTTGCATGGACCCTGTTCTAAATGTGGAGTTTTTTCCCACTGGTTAAATACCCTATTGGTCATATTTTTGGTCAGAATTAAATTACCTATACGTTGTTCTGTATTTTCATTTGCAAGCACACCGTTTAAACCCAGCCACCTTGCAGTGTTTTGCAGTGTTTGCATTCAAATATAAGAAACCACCGACTTCCAGAGATGGAGAGAGGAACAAGGTTCCCATCAAAGCCTTTTTTCCCCCCGAGATTTTAGCCAGTAAAGTTAAAATGTTTTTCAGCGTTTATGTTCTGAAATGTATGCGAGAGTGTTTACAACTGATTGGGATTGTCCCTGGCTATAATTTTGAATGGAGAAGACATGCAGAGTTCGTTTAAAATCCACTGTACCTACACATTCTCACACAGTTTTCAGTGGCAGTCCATGGCCTTCAAGGTACAACTGGTGTAAAACAATCTAATGTCAAAGCCGCACTACTCCTTACTCTGTTTCCCCTCTATCCAGTTTTATAGTTGACTGCTAATAAAAGCACAACATAAATTTAACATCAGCACTTTTTTTGTTTTAACTGTTTTATCATCGTCTGCCAGGTTCAAGCTCTTTTGAGTCTCAAAAGATGGATCGTCCCTCAATCTCTGTCACATCCCCCATGAGTCCCAGTATGCTGCGGGACGCCCCCCAGTACCTGTCAGGACAACTCTCAGTAAGTCACAACTTTTCATACACACCAAAGCAGAAAGACTGACAATTTGTCTGTAGTTAGAGTTTTTTTGTAAATGTGGAATACAACATTAGCATGTGCAGTGCCTTATGGAAGTATTCATAGCCTATATAATTGTCCACATTTTGTCATGTTGCACTTACAAGCTTCAATGCAGTGGGATTTTATTGGGATTTTATGTCAAAGATCAACACAAACTAGTGCATATTCATTCAGCACCCAATAGTTTACGGAACCATTTCCCCCTGCGATTACATGCAGGCACAAGTCTTTTGGGTTGTGTCTCTCATAGCTGTGGACTTCTAGATACTATGAAAATTAGCCCATTAATCTGTGAAAATCATCTTTAAGTCATGCCATAGATTCTTAATTAGATGTGTGTCTGGAAATTAGGCCATTTCAACACATGGAGTGACTTTGATCTAAACTCATGGTGCTCAAACTGTGCTACAAATCCCACTGGTGCTTCTTTGGCTGCTTTCTGCCATGTAAACTGTTAACAATGACGCAAACCAGTGTAGGCTAAACTTAAGCTAGGAAGCTACAAATGCCAAAATATTAGATTGAAGCTAAAATGAACGGCAGTGAATCAAAAATCAGCATCTGAAAAATAATAATTTAACTTGTCTGCTTTGTGATCAGGCTAACTATTGAACAAACAACAACAATGATATATTTTGTGCTTTAACACTGTAACAAGAGATGTATAATAAATAGTGAGTGAGTGAATGAGACAAGTGTAAATAAGTTGATTACTGTAGTTGTCACCATGTGTGGCATGTGTTCTGTTTATTTTTTTCAACAAATATCACTTCTTAAGGCTTTATTTCAATAATGGCTTTCTTCTTGCCAGACCCTCATATTGTAAATTTGTGGAGTGAAGGAGTAGCAGTTGTCCTGCCAACAATTGAGGCGTATAACACATCTTTCAGATTTTTTAAAAGTGAAAACTTTAGAATGATTCTTCGTCTTCTTTCTGCTTCACTTTGAGCTACTTTTTTCCCCCTTCACATAAAATCCCAATAAACTACATTTAAGTTTGTGTTTACCTTTACAGTTATACCCTCCGTAAAACTATGACTAAAGTCTGATTTGAGATGATTGGTGTGTCGACTGTTCTCTACTTTCACCAGTCAGTCTGTTCGGCTGGCCTTCAGCCCATCCAGGACAGGACTCTAGATCAGGTTGCAAAGTGTGTTTTCCATTGTCTGGTATAAGAACCCTCCTGGGGTAAAATAGGCAAAAGGTTGCATTAAAGTTAAGAACAAATCAATCCTCAAGGGAAGCTGGTGTAGAAATAGTAACACCACCGAAACACGTCTTGGTGAAGTATTTTTTCTCTGTAGATTAAACCCATGGCCACAGATGTTTAGTGGAACCTACAAACTCTGGTTGTTGTTTCTGAGTGCAATGTGAGATTTTTTTGGTTTTATTGCATATTCTTTTTCTTTTTTTGTTTCTTTTGCTGTTGAATTTTGCTTATCCAGAGCCAAAGCCTTAGTAGAAGAACAACGCCTTTTGCCCCTAGGGTCCAGGTAATGGGCCCTGAATAAAGGGCACACACTGTCTCTTTGGTTTTTGCTCACTTACTGTTGACTGGCTTTCCTCCCCCCATATTTTTGGGAAATGCATTCTTGGGGGAAATCGTAGCATCAAATTTCCCTCTCAAAAGAGTGCATTGTGTGATTTTTCTTCAGTTTGATGTGTTGGTATCATGGTTATAATCGATTCTTCTTAGTTGTTTCTCATTTTAACCCATTCACGTCATTATTCCCTTGTACTGTAATGCATGCTAAACTAAATTGAGCAGCTTTTGAAAGATTCTCTCTCAGTGCTTTTTTTCTTCTTCTTTTTTTTCCCAAAATTGTTTTCAGTGATCAGCCCCAAGCTGGATACTTAGTTTTATGTTTGTCAATCAATGAGGTTGTTTCCATTTTTTTCTTCTTTATATAAGAACAGTGGTATGTGAGAAAGTATTCTCTTTCAAATATGATTTTACAAATGTATTTCAAAGGCAAATTATTTAGAGTTAAGCTGTATTTAAAATCTTATATTATATAAATCGTATAATTGGAGATATCAGTCTCTGTTTTATTCCCAAAGGAATCTGGATTCTTACCTTACATTGGAGATTTTGTTGGACTTTTCTCAGTCCCCCAAATCATATTGTACAACAAACCGACATCAAGACATTTTATTCTTAGAAGAATAAAACAGGACATTTTGTGTTCCTGTTATCAAGTGAAGATCATCTCCAGGTCAATGTGACCAGGTCTGTCCACAAAGCAGATTTAAACCAGCGACCTGTGCCAAACCGCTACTTTTCTTCTCAAAAGTGCCAAATGGCAAAAGGGGGAAAGTAAAAAAGCCTTTTTTTTCTCTTCCTGTGACCTCTTTTGTTAACACCTGATGAAAAGGCTAACTTTGAGTCTTCATGCTGCAGTAAAAGCATCCACACTGAAGAGTGTTCTGGTTAGCACAGTCTGATAGCACTTCTGCCTGTTTTGCACAGCAAGACTTTAAAATGTTTGCCGACATTCAAAACCCGAGAGACCACACACGTAGATTATAAATCTTATGCTTAGCAGGTTTTGGTCGTGGCCACACACAAACCAGTTCCGCTCACCAATATTCAGATGTCAGATGAAAATCTCGCAAAACCTCTGGAGACCAAACGTGAGTTCAGCGTAAACAAACATGGCCGACTGGGAAGACGCAATAGCAATAGTTTGTGGACTTTCTTTAAATATTTTAGAGTAATTGCTGCATATATTTTTTCTCTATTTTTTCTTTTAAATGGAGATAATGATGATATTTTTATTTATTTATTTTTTGCTTAAGTGAAGCTCACTGACATCTTTTAGTGCTCCTCTCGCATTGCTGCATGAAAGCTGGTATTTGTAAGCAGTGGACTCCTTTTCCATGATCATATTTTAAATGAAGTATGGACAAATGTTTTGAAGCCTTGTTTCTCATTTCATCTGCTGTTCTGAAGGCTTCTTGTGAACTCTTCCATCTTTTAAGTGTCTTTCACCGGAGTCCATACTTCTCTTTTAACTTGATCAGCATGATTGATTTCTTCTTATAAATCACTGAGGGGTTTTCTAAAAACACTCTGAGACAACCTAATCAGTGATACAAAAAAACCTTGTAAAGGAATATTTCAGACCATGACATCTTTAACATTTTAGTTCATTTTAGTTAGAATAACATTATGGCTACTAGTATTCAATTATATCACGGGTTTTTACGGTACATTCCCTGTATGAGATGAGATGATGCGAGAGAACAAGACAAAGTTTCAGATTTAAAAAAAAATTTTTTATCAGTGTATTTGGTCAGAGAAAAGGCTTCACAAAACACAGAATGTGTCTAAAGGATCTCTGCTTCGTATCAGGTTTGACAATCTAATTCAATTCAAGTTTATTTATGTTGCACTGATTTACAACACATCATCTCAAGGCACTTTTCAAAGAAAAGTTAATTTACTTGATTCTAGTTGTCAAACAATGCAGTTAAGTGAAGGTCATTACTGAAATTGGTTTAAGAAGTTTTCTGTTAAAGAAAACTCAGGGGACGGTTGCCCTGTCAGACCGTCAGTTCCCGAAACAACACAAAGAAAAATTCTGGTAAAAGCTCAGTGCGATCAGTGCGACCCCGCCAGACTGCGCACAGAAAAAAAATACTTGTGGGGCCCAAAAGGGCCCGTCTCTTAAGTCCGCAGGAGGGTTAGCAGGAAGAAACCTCCAGCAGAACCAGAATTCGGCCGCGTCAGCAGCCATCTGCCGCAGCTGACCAGAGGTTTAAGTAGACAGATACGCAAACAGAACCACTGGTCTGGGAGTCATTTCTATGTTAAGGAAAAGTAAGACGTCACTAACAGAAGTAAATTAGAGTTTGAATCAGAGTTCATCAAATGTGTTACATAGTTATTGTTGAAATCGCTCCTTAGTTTTGCAGCAATAGAAACCTCCAAAACCGACGTGAACTGTTTACATCGGTTCACCAGCCGTTGCAGCAGTCTTTCAGCGCTTTCAGTCACTTTTTTTAAGGTGACCAACACCATATGTCATAGCCCAGAAAAAGCACATTCAGTTTATTTAGCGAATTTCTTTGTCAAATTAAGCAAAATCCAATTTCAAAATGAATCTACAAAGACGATTCAAAGAGATTTGATGTCATGATAAATGTCCTGCTTAATGCATGACTGGACGTCCTTTAAACATGTTTGCCCCGTCAGGTAGACACAGGAGAAGATCCTGGACCGAAACCAATCACTGATTTAAAAACAAAACGGGTGTTGCACTCAGTGAAGCTAGACATAAATTGTTCTGTACTAACTTCTGCTCTGGCTTGATGAATTCATTTTCTCCTGCATTATTCCTTATGTTTCTATTTTTATTTTAAATTTTTTTCCGTGTGGGCCCCTGGTAAGGTCTCAGCATGGCGTGTTGGCTCTGCCCCTACAGGTCAAACTCTGGTATGACAAAGTGGGTCATCAGCTAATTGTAACCATTCTGGGTGCCAAAGACTTGCCACCCAGGGAAGACGGCCGGCCCAGGAACCCTTACGTCAAAATCTACTTCCTGCCTGATAGAAGGTAAGACTAAAATAGCTTGGTGATACTTCCAATCTGTTATATAAGTCTGGATCAATTTGTCAACAAACTGTCTGCATAGATATATTTTAACTTTGTAGATTTTATTGGATTTGCTTTTGAATGTTTTGGAACTGTTGATGTGACGTCACTAGCTTGTGTTTTCATGTTGCCACCATTAAAAGCTGGACAAATATGTGCATGCAGAGTTGGGTATAGGTACATTTAACCAGTTACATTTGCTTTTGTAACTTTATTGGGAAGGGGTTAGAGGGGGGGGGGTTATGTAAAGTCCACTTACTTTACATACTGTGAGTAACTTGACTGGATAAATAACAAGCACATTTTAACCTCACCAGAGACACGACTGCAGCTTTTGTTAAAGCTTCATAAATTATATATTGGCAGAAATTTATTTAGAAAAATGTTTTTTGTTGTTTTGTTCTTGTTGCCTGATTTCATTTTTTTAATTATGTTATTATATAAATTATTTTCATTTTGGTCTTTGAAATACCAAAATTAATACATAGCTTTAAATTATGGTTCCTCTGATTATTATGTAGTTTTTAAATATTAAATGATTGATGTTGCTGTTTTTACCAACTACGTTTTTTCACTCTTACTAGAGTAATTTCTTGGACGGCTACTTTTTATTTTAACTTGAGTAAAAATATGTTGCATTAGTGCAACTCTTCCTGTTTTAGTACAATTTTTGGGTCCTTTACTCACCTCTGTGTGTACGTTTCAAACTGCAGTGTTGGTTGTGAAGCTTAGATTTGCATTTGGTTGTGTGTGTTTCTCTGGATCATTTGAGTAGTGGTTATTAGTGAAGCGTTAGTGCAGTAAACAAGCGTCTTCTCACTGAGCATGCTGTGGTGCTGTGTGGTATTGTTTAACTGTTGTGTCCGCGGCTCTTCCCTATTGAGGTTCTAAATAAAAACAGTCTGAATTATTGTTCCTCCAGTGATAAAAGCAAGAGGAGAACAAAAACAGTAAAGAAATCCTTAGAGCCCAAGTGGAATCAGACCTTTATGTATTCGCCGGTCCACCGGCGGGAGTTCCGGGAGCGCATGCTGGAGATCACGTTGTGGGACCAAGCCCGGGTCAGGGAAGAGGAGAGCGAATTCCTGGGAGAGGTAAGGGAATCAAACCTCTGGGTCGTCCCATCGTCATGAAAAAGTTTGGCAACCCCTGGCTTATGCTGATCAACATTAGCTAACCATAGTAACTTCTCATAACTCCAGATCTAACATAAAAGAGACATAATGAGTCAAAAATAATGTAAGAGTGTTATCTTAACCACTAACAGCTGGGTTTTTTTTTTTTGGTTTTTTTTGTTTTTGTTTTTTGTTGTTTTTTTTTTGTCAATATATTTAATTATGGAGCCTGGAAAGATTGTAATTTAGATGTCAAGCAAAGTTTGATGATATATTGGTTTTGAAATTAGGTGGTTAGCCCAGAAATCTGCTTCCTTTGCAATCCTACAGTTACCTGCTAACATTGTGTTTCTCTTAATCAGTCTGAAGAAAGAAGCTGTTTGTTAGAAGTACTGTGGCCGAAAAGGCCGTGGTCATGTAACTTGACTTTCTCTGTAAGTCTAAAAATCTTATTTTCTCTCCTCAACTTCCTTTTGGAGCCATGAGGAAAATATGTAACATGTTATTTCTTTGTCTGAAACAGAAAAGTTTGGATGATCTGTAACAGTTTTCAACAACCTGAAAAAAAGTTTTTGTTCTCATCCTTTTTTTCATCTTCTTTCTTTTCTCTTTTTATTTTTGTTTCCCTTTTCTCTTCTTTCTTTCTTTTTCTATTTTATTCACTTTTTTCTCCTACTTTATTCCCTTTTCTCTTTTTTCTTCTCTTTTAAATAGCATCATTATGTTTTAGGTCTTACCACAGATTCTCCACTGGTTTTAGCTTCAAGACCACGACTGCTCTGTCAGCCCGGTTACAAGAAATCACATTTTTCTGCACTTGCCTTGTTGCCTGACTATTGCGATTTCTGGTGGCAGATTCTCATCGAGTTGGAGACCGCTCTGTTAGACGACGAGCCTCACTGGTACAAGCTACAAACACACGACGTGTCGTCCATGCCACTCCCACGTTCCTCCCCAAACGCACAACGCAGGCAGCTCCACGGAGAGAGCCCAACACGGCGGCTGCAGAGTAAGAATCGCTACCAAAGTTTTCCCACTAAATGCTCTTTTCCATGTCGAATATCTAGTTTGGACACATTCTTGTACATTTACAAAAATAAATAAATAAAAAGAGACAGAGATTCAGCTGATGTCAGACAATATGTCTTGCTTTACTTTCTGCCGCACATCAACACTACTGCTTCTGCTTTCACAGACAAAGGCTCGTATTCATATAACTCAGGTAACGCTGCTCTGTGGAGCGCCCTGTTCTTCTGTCCTCTTTAAAAATGCCTCCCTGTGCTTTGACTTCCCGTTTCTATTCCCTGCAGAGCGCGTGTGTCTGCTGCCTTATATGGATTCTAGCACCCAGAGCCAATATAAACTTAAACAGCAGACACACGCGCGCTCTGGGGAAACAGATTTACAACACGGTGCTTTCCCTTTGTGTATTCACCTGTTTTACAATCCCACCCTGCAGCTCTTATCCACAGCCTCAAAAACGGTTTGACTTTTTAAAAATGAATTATCTGCTATTCTTCTATTAATGTAGAGGCTATGAGTCAGTTTTAGTTTGGCTGCACCTAAACACTCCTCTCGCCTCCGTTTTGTAATTGTAATTTGATCAGTATGAAGACTTTTCCATTGTTGAGTGCATTTAGTGGTTTGTCAGCTTTCCATGTTCTGCTTTAGTTTGGTTTCCTTGAATGTCGTTTTTCTCTAAAAATAAAAAAAGAAGAAGAAGACGACTGAGAGGCTTTAAAAAAAAACTTCAAATGATCCTATAACTCAAGGGTGTCCAAAGTGCAGCCCGGGGGCCATTTGTGGCCCCTGGACTGAATTTCTATGGCCCCAATTCTGAAAAGTAAAGGTGGTTGATAGAGATAATTATTTTATTAGGGCAAAATAATAAGAGAAAAAAATTTAAGCACACAAAATATTCATCCTTTTCATAACCAGACTTTTTGTATTTTCCTTAATTTCATAGTAAATCAATCATCATTCATAGTAAATTGGCTCAGCAATGCTCCTCACATTGTGAATTGCTTTGCTTTATTAAAATATCACCTGCTTAGTTTATTGTTGATCAGGGAAAAGAAATTGACAATTTTGTTTGTAGTTTCAGCTCTTAAAAATAATAAGTTTGAACACCCCTGCTGCAGCTCAAACACATCATCACAGATGTCAGTAATCAAACTTT